TCCAAAAGTCTCCCTGCTGCTATACAGGTGGCTGTTGAAAGAAACTATGTCCTGTACTTATCTGCAAACATCAGAAAAATGTTCATTGCTGTCCTGCTTGCCTTTGCCCAGAGCAACTGGAATGACCCATCAGTCTACAACAGTCAGTGTGTGAATGTCTTTTTGCTGCTCTACAAGTGGCTCCTATAAAAGACTATAAAAGAATTCATTGTTCATGTTGCTACTACTACTGTGTAATCCACTCAGATACCTCAGCTCTCCTTGGTTGCTACGAGCAATGATGAACAAATACCTGATCACACATCTGTGGCTGAGGCCTATGTTTTACTACTCATTTTAATGCCTACAACAGTCAGTGTTTGCCACGCATTCTTGCTTGTGGTTGCCTGGAGCAACTGGATTACAATTGTCTAGCTGCCCTACAGTAGTTGGACCTAGTGACTTTTTGCTCAACAGTGTCTAGTGGGGGGGTACGTCGCATACCCCACTGTTTCCCATAGCAACTGCTGCAGACTATTGCTACTATTTCTACAAACACCCAGTTATCCAACAGTGGCTGGGCCTTAGTGTTTTGTCCTTGCCAGTGAACTGCATTTGTGTTTTTGCCTGGATTCAGAGCTTCAAAAGCCTTCAAACCAGTCAGTACTCTCCCACTTCGAGAAGCAGAGGTTAACACCAGCTCGGGAAAGTTCCTGCACGGCAGTCTTGTTGGCGCCAAAGTGTCTCATGGAGGGGCGTGGCCATGCCCTCAAGTCCCCCCAGTACACCCAGCTTGCTGTGAGAGTGTGAGAGGAGAGAGATGGAGGCTGTGTTGCAGATGTACCCACAAGTTTTCTGGTCAGAGAGACAGAAGGCCAGGAGATGTCTGGAGTTGGAGATACAGAGTGGGGTAGAGTCCTGAGACTGCAGCTCTCCTGCACTGACAGCAGACCGTTGCAGCAGAGGATGGCTGCCTGCTGTTACCTTTCAACCACCCGGAGATGTTGCTGATGGGCCGGTGCCCACAAGTACTGCTCAGATGGGACTAGCAGATGTCCCGGAGAGGTTGGCTGTTCAAGACCACTCTGTCACCACAGCTCCTAAGGAGCTGGGTTCAGATGACTCTTCCTTGTCAGGTGAGCCGGTAGGGAATGACAGGGGTGGTGATGCGGGGTCAAACAGTACTTTATTAATATTATTATTATACAGGATTTATATAGCGCAACAACAGTTTGCTCAGCGCTTTACATTATAACGGGAGACAATACAGCCACAATACAGTTCAATACAAGAGGGTTAGGAGGGCCTGCAATCTAAGAGGGATGGGCTAGTGGTACAAAAGGTAGTATCTGAGGGGGAAGCTCTGGAGAAGGCCTGAAGAAGAGCATGGGAGGAGGAGACAAGGAAGCTAGAGAGCTGGAGGTCGTGCGAGGAGCGGAGAGTACGGTTTGGGTGATATTTAGTCAGGATGCCTGACCCCAGACTTTTGTTACTGGACAAATGGACCCTATCCTATTGCATATACATGGGCCATGTACTTTTGACCGGCTGACGCAGGATTCCAGCCCAACGGGTTCTCTTCTTTCTTATGGACTCCGGTCCTTTCATTTCCCAGATGTACTGGTCTGAGGAAGCTACAGGGAGATCAGCTGGACTCCTTATCCTACCAGGAGGGGCTCCTCAAGTTTCTTGTTAATTAAATGGACAATTTATTAAAGTGCCTATTTAGCTAGCCAGTCAGAGTTAGGAATGTGATATTCCTTTGTTTGTTCCTTTCTTCCACTGTTCTGCAAGATCTCCACAGACGGCTGTCTCCTCCTGTGCAAGAACAAGAAGAACCATAATTGCTAATGAAGGGCTTTCTTCTCAAGGGACACGCTCAAGGACTGTTTACTGACTCTGAATGCAAGTCTGTGGAAGACTATAGGGGGACCCAAATTTCTAGCCACTCCTAAGGGAGTAGTGCTACACCTTCCTCATCTCTCTCCTTTTATTTATGCTTCCTTCCTTCCTTCCTTCCTTCCTTCCTTCCTTCCCTCCTTCCTTCCCTCCTTCCCTCCTTCCTTCCTGACTCAAAGCAAGAAGTTAGCATGACAGCCAGTCAACTAGCATTTCCAGAAGGAGAGAAGAGCAATGGCAGCCTTCATGTTTGTCTCATTCATTTAGTAAAAACAAAAAATACAGGTGTACATCAGTATACAAACTCCTCGGTTAATGTAATTTTCAGTTTACAAATGAAAATCCATTAAAAATAATTGGATTAATTGGTTTTCAATACATTTACTAATTGTTTTTTAATCATGTCCCTGTACAGTACTATGCCTTTTTAATGAATTTTGAACAGATAAGACTTTTTTGGAATTTTTTCTGACCTCCGTAACGGATGAATTCGTTTTCAATGCATTTACAAATTAATTTTGAATCATGCCCCTGTACAGTATTTATGCCTTTAACGTGCACTTTATAAAGAGTTTTTTGAACAGATAAAAGACTTTTGTATTAACTTTTTTTCTGACCTCCAGAACAGATTAATTGGTTTTCAATGCATTCCTATGGGAAACTGCGTTTCGGTTTACGAATTCTTCGCAATACGGAAAGTCCCGTAGAACTAATTAAATTCCTAAACTGAGGTATGCCTGTATATTACATTCATGAGTTACACAAGGACAAAAATGAATGTTTGAAGCTATATATCTGGGTGATTTTTCTGTGTTGTCCCTGGACAGTAAAGTGCAACTCCAGTCTGTGGTGCTGTTGTCTAGATTTCCCTTCTCTTTTTTTCCCAGTAACAATGTTGTCACCAGCTTAGGAAGTGATATAAATCTGCAATAGGAACACGACATTAAAAGCAACCTCTCCTGTTGCTGCTGTATTGGCTCACATGATTGGAATGCCTGCCTCAGGCTCCCGGCATTTAGAATCACTTAAAGGGATGGAAGGTGATGGTGGGAAGGGGTTAAAATAACATTCAGTATATTGATACAATTTTTATCATTGTATGTATTAATCACACTCAGTTTTCAGAATACAATCCTTTTTTGTATTAGTGATCCTTAAACCTTATCCACCTGCCTGCTGTGGCCTTTTAACTTGGTTTTAGGGAAGGGGGGATGGACTTTCTAATCCCTTGACCACATCTCTGGGAGTGCACAGCAAGTACTGTCTAGGCACAGAAACCTCAGCCACCATAGACGTATATGTGCTGTGTATGTGCATTAAAGCCCCCCTCCTTGCCTACACACGTGTTATGTGTTCAGCAAGAGGTTAAGGATAGACATGTGTGGTTCGTTTCCTTCTGACTTAAAGTTCAGACAAAATTTACATTATCTGGAGATTCTGATGTATCCGAATTTCTTAATTACAATAGTAGAATCCAAAGTAACGAAACTAAATTTCATCCGAAATTCAAAAACAAATTTGAAGGAAATCAGCAAGTCAGAAAAATGTTTATTTAAAATTTTGTTTTCGAATTTCGGATGAAATTTAGTTTTGTTACTTTGGGTTCTACTATGGTATTCTTTCGAGATTCGAATTTCAGAAGACGGCTATATTCCAACACTTATACACATAATCTTTGAAGGAAATCGGCAACAGTCAGCAAAAGGTTTATATTTCAAAGACTATGTGTGTAAGTGTTCAAATATAGCCGTCTTCTGAAATTCGAATCTCAAAGAATACAATAGTAGAATCCGAAGTAACGAAACTAAATTTCATCCAAAATTCGAAAACAAATTTGAAATATAAACGTTTTGCTGACTATTGCTGATTTCCTTCAAAGACTATGTGTATTATTGTTAGAATATAGCTGTCTTCTGAAATTCGAATCTGGAAAAGAAGAGAGTGAAACAGAATAGAATAGAAAAGAATAGAGTGAAACAGAACAGAATAGAAAATAAAATAAAAGAATAGTATAGAAGAAAGTTTTAATAGAAAAGTATAGAATAGAAAAAAATATATTAGAATAGAATAAAAAAAAATAGAGAATATAGCTGTCTTCCAAAATTTAAATTTTGAAAAGAATAAAATAGAAAAAAACAAACTAGAATAGAAAAGAAGAGAGTAGAACAGAATAAAATAAGTAGAACAACACTGAATAAAATATAAAAGAATAGAATATAATAGAAAAAAAAGAATAGATTAAAATAGAATAAAATAAAATCTAACCAACTTCCAAAATTCAAATTTTGAATAGAATAGAACCGGCTATTCTTCACAATGATCAATTCATATTTTTCAAATGAATTTCATTATGAATGCAACAAAATGAAATCAGTAACTTAACGAATCGATCTGAAGATAAACAAATTTTTTTGTTCTGCACGTTTAGTTAAGTACAGGCATCCCTGTTGCACTCTACATATTGTGATGTCTTTTCCATCGTCTTGGTGAACATTCTATGTATGTCCCTGTTCTCCTCACACTGTGAAGCTGACCACAGCAGCTGCTTCTCCTATCAATGTCTGCACGGGGCACTGAAGGCATTCTCTCAGACTGATGGACTGCGGGAGATTTCTGTCAGGGGGCACAGAGCTTATTTGTGATATTCCGCAGACATGAGGGGGAAATATGAGATTCTCGGCTACATAACGAAATAATTGTAATACAGCGGGAAGGAAATTGTCCCTGGTCATATAATACAGTATGTCTGTTCATGTAGGCCGAGCTCAAGTCTGACTTAAGCATTGTATTGTGTTACCCTCATTTGAACTCACAGAGATATGGAGAAGTCTATTTTTTTTTCATAAGTATTTATATATTTTACATTTTAAACCCCTTGTGCACAGGAGCAGTTAGTGCGTCTATGAACAGGAGAGGTAACCCAGAACTACGCCATGTAACCTGCAGGGTGTGTTGGCAGGTGCAGGTTTTCCTGCATCCAGTAGGTGGCACTGTGCCATAGTACATGTGAGATGGGGAAACAGCTCTCATTGTTTGAACACTGTTTGTGTGGAAGTAAATTAATGTTTTGACGGACATTCTGCGGTTTAGCCACAAGATGTCACTGTTTTTCTAACACAGCCTCAGACTGCATAGATATTTGTATATTCATGAAGAGGTGGGGTTTTGCACACAGAGGAGAGAGAGAAGCCATGTTTTGGAGCTTGGTGAATAAGGGGGGGCCGTGTGAGCTGAGAATCTGATGACATCCAGGTGTGAAAGCGTCCCTCAGTAACCAGAGATTGCTGCCAGGAATGCTGATGAGATTGCTGCCAGGAATGCTGATTAGATTGCTGCCAGGAAGGCTGATGAGAGCAGAGGAACTAAGCAAAATATACGGCAAGACCGCATGCTTGTTGGAGAGACATTTGTTCTATTCAGAGTCACCAGCGGATACAAAGCAGACCCGGGTCGGTAAGATCGTGCACACACCTCATTTCAGTGTTGGCCTATAGTTAGTTAGGGTCTCTGTGTCAGGCCACAAGTGTTACTGATTATTGGAAGGACTCCACAACTTAAAGTGACATTTCACACTGGAGAGCTGATAAAATCCTACAAACTCAAGCCAGACTGGCGTTTTGCTCAGAAGGAATACTCAGGCACGTGCTACAGGACCAGTTATGGGAGGGGGAATACTGTAGATTTGTGTAAGATTGTAAGCTGTTGTGCTGCACCGCAGGCTAGCCCATACCGTACACCCATACACTGATTCCTGCTCTTTTAGGGTAATAACAGGTAAGGTGTGGCAGCTTATTTGTGCCCGCCAGTAGGTAAATTACTTCACTTTCTACCTTCATCCATCAGAAGGTGCCGTGCTGTGCAGCACAAGGGTTTCAGCCTTTGGTCTGGGTGTATGTAAATTTATTGTATGTTTCCAGCATTTGTGGTTGTGCTTATTTGCCACATCTAAGTAAAATTCTGTTGTGGCAAAAGCTGGTGTTGGGGTTGCTTTCCTCGTTTGTGATTTCACTGTATCCTGGGAAGCCCAACCCGGTACACGGCTTAAATACAGATGGAGTGGACTTTGTTAGGGGAAAACGCCCTTCATGATCTCCATCGGTGTTTCAGAGGGAGCAGCTGTCTGATTGGACACTACAGCTTCTGGTGACTTTTGGTGGCCATCTTGGGTGAGGGAACTTTTTAAATAAGGGACCCCACATCATTTTGAGAGAATGTTGGGGAGAGGAACCCACTTGTGATGCACAGTGTTTGACTCAGGGTCCGTTTCCAAGCGAGAAGATATAACTCAGGGAAGGCTCCTTTTTCACTATACACACTCCTGCGAGTGCTGTACAGATGTAGAGCCAGTGCAGACTGCAGGAACATCCTCTTCCTAAAAGGAACACTATCTCTGGTAACAGAAGCCATATTCTGGATGGCCCTACCTACAATGTAAATGCTGAGTGACTGTATAGTCTATGGACTGTTGATATCAGTGCTGAGCATCATTTTATCTTCCTCCCAATACAAGGTACCCAACTTAGGCCCCACCTACACTTGGGTAGAGAAAGCCTGGGAGTAAAGTTTTAACCACTTCCCAACCATTCCCTGTCTATAATGGCGTCAGGTTTAAGTGGTTATACCAAGATCATGATTGCAGATAAAGTCATGATCCTAGTTTTGTTTCTTAGAGCCGGTGATTCTCTTATGTAAAAGTAATCCGAGCAGCTATACAGTTGCTGGATTACTTTTACAGGTGGCAAAATGCCCCCACCCCCCTCCTGCCACTGTGTTTACTGGGCTCTCCAGTCCCATTGAGGAGGCCAGTAAGGATGTGACCAACGGCATCCTGGGACACAGGGAGAGGAACTGATGTTGTTCCTACCACTATGTGGTGTCAGAAACCGGAAGCAAAAAGGATTTTTTCACTTCCTGTTTCTGTCTAAACAAGCTCTTAGTGGCTTGTGAAAGCATCTCATCAAATCAATCTTAATTGACCAGCAGTTTTGGAGGAAAGTGGAGGTAAATAGTGTCTCTGAAATGTCTTCCTGCAGATTTATAATGCTTCTGTTTTACTTCAAAAATTGGAAAACTAATTGGATTGGTGTCTTCTTCCTCTAAGGAACAACCTGATTCTGCTGGAAGGACATTGGGCAAGCACAATATCTGACAGTAATTGTAAGTTTATAAGCTTCCTATGGGTGCAAGGATCCCCACAGACTTGGGAGCTAGAGCTTTGGTCGATCTGCGGTGCCTGGTGAGGTCATGCTGTGCCCAGGTTGGATTTAACCTGCTAACAAGGAGGTGTCCAGGATGTACCTAGACTGATTCCTCTACGCAGGAACCTGTCCCTAGGCTAGCCTTGCAAGTGGGTCTCACCACATGGTTTCCCCCACACTACAGGGCTCACTACAGGGTTTGTATGTGACATTTCTCTCTCTAAGATGGCCACGCAGATCTCACACAAATCCAATCGTACACAGCCTCCCCCAAATTGGCACCTGAAATCCCTCGCAGAGGACACACTGGTGCCATGCCTGACTTTCCCCTAGAAGAAAGAAAAAAAAGAAGCACTTTGCCAATTCTAATTAACAAAATTTTCCAGGATATCAAATGCTCACTGCAAATTAGGTCATCTTTATATTCAGGGATATGAAATAAAAGACAAAATACACACCACAGTCTTTTGCTTGATTTAGGCCCCATTCACATGGGGCAATTAGCTGCTTGCCCCATGCAGGGCCATCTTTCCCAGCTTGGGGATGCACAGCTATTGCGTCCATCCCTGTACTGGTATTCCATAATTGACTATTGGTACACATGGCTGCATGGACACAGCCACATGCCTCTTAGTGACATGCAGGTGCTTGCAGGTGTGGGTCCTCAAACTCATTCGCATCATCTGAGGCTACATGTGAATGGAGCCTTGGATGAGCTTAAAGTAGAGATGAACTTGTAGACATGTGCAGGCATTCTTTTCCTGTAGGTGACACTGTACATATGCTACAGGGATAGGGGAGTCTCTTAAAAGAGAAGTATGGCCAAAGCTTTTTTTTGGCCGTACTTCTCTTGTGGGTCACTGGAGTGCACTTACTTTTGCACTCCTGTGACCCAGTATCAGCCAACAGCAGGCTAAAGTCCACCCTTGGCCAACAATACAGAGCCACTCCAAGCTTTGGAAGGATCCTGACAATATTGTTGGGATCCATTTAGGATCGGGGGCCTGCACGGGTGGGATATGTACAGGATCAAGCACCTCCCAGTCGCCAGCTGGTTTGGTGGTGCAGTCACCACTCAATATGCAAGGCCTGAGTAAACTGTGGTGAAGTAATCTCTTCACAGGGTTGGGTTCCTCTGAAACTTCATCATATATTGGAGTTGGTGGGAAGGGTTGTTTCTCTACCCGATAAGGGGTACACTCCCATTTAGATTTCAATGTGCTGCTCCTGATATTTTTTGTATTTTTCACTAACACTCTGTCTGCGAGAAGCTTTCATGGATTTGCAGCCTTTCAATTGAATGTAGGTGCTTGCTGCTGCACAATTCCTATAACTGTGAGCTGAGCTGACATTCCTGCTGAATGGGATTATAGGGATGCTGAGGGACTACATGTGTGGATGTGGGCCTGTGCTGGCAGCCTGCCTATGACTCTCTCTTTTTTTGATTGGCCTGTTACTGTCTCTTTGCTGGATGAAGCTGTATCTTTGTTGGATGGGGATACCACTTTGCTGGTGTTGGATGGGGCTGTCTTTTTGCTATATGGAGCCATCTCTTTGCTGGATTGGGACTGTCTCTTTGCTGGATTGGGACTGTCTCTTTGCTGGATGGGAATATCTCTTTGCTGGATGGGAATATCTCTTTGCTGGATGGGGTTGTCTCTTTGCTAGATTGGGACTGTCCCTTTTTCTGGATTAGGCTGTCTCTTTGCTGGGTTGGGACTGCCTTTTTGCTGGATTGGAACTGTTTTTTTTTTTACTATATAGGGCCATCTTTGTTGGATTGGGCCATCTCTATGCTGGACTGGACTGACACTTTGCTGGATGGGGTTGTCTCTTTGCTGGATGGGGTTGTCTCTTTGCTGGATGGGGATGTCTCTTTGCTGGATGGGGATGTCTCTTTGCTGGTTGGGGATGACTCTTTGCTGGATAGGGGGCTGTCTCTTTGTTGAATGGGGCTGTCTTTTTGCTGGATTATATAGGGCTTTTTTCCTTGCTGGATTATATGGTGATGACTCTTTGCTGGGTTATATGGGACTATCTCCTCGCTGAATTAAATGTGGATGTCTCCTTGCTGGATTATATGGGGATGCCTCTGCTGGATTGGGCCATCTCTTTGCTGGATTGGAATGAAATAGCCATATGAAGGAAGTAGTGGGGGGAATGAAATGGGCATGTAAAGGAAGGTAGGGTGAAAATTTTATACCCCCCCTGTTCCCTTTACATGCCCATTTCACTGTGAGGGCCAACAACTCAAATTTAAAAGGGCAGTATTTATGAGGGTTTTTCTCTGTGGGTTGCAAACCGCCACATAGGTGATTCCCCATTCACAACTGCCCTGCATCTGTGTGGTCTATCACAATTGGCCAAGGTCCTTCAAACATGCAGATCTGAGCCTCCGTACCTCCTCCGCCCCTCTTTCAGAAAGTTCCTCAAGTTTCTGCAAGGGTGGGAGGGCCCCAGAAACTGTGACCTGTAGAACCTCCCTAGCCTGTCCTCTGGTGAACTCCTGCCTCACTTGTAGGCTGACTCTCAGCCTCTAGCTAAAAAAAAACTAGCTAGCTAACCTGGAGGGTGTTACATCTTTAGCAGAGATAATAGGGAATGCAGAAGGGGGTGGGGAAGGATGTAAGGATACCAGTGTCACAATATATGAAACCAATTTAAGAGGTAAACATGTCATAAAGTACCTATTTGATCACTCTCCATTGTGATTATACCCAGATGTCCCATACCTTCTGGAACTTTGTGGGACACCTCTTGCATGGTAGGTTGATTTATATAAAGTAACTACAGAATTATCCAGTGATTTCGAGGTGCTAAGAGTGGGGGCAGTAGCGAATTTCCATTGAAGCACTATTGCCTTCCGAGCATAAAACAGTAATAAACCAAGGGCCTAATCGCTCTAGTGTGTGTCAGAGTAACCACTAATCCTAGAATACATATCTCTGCAAGGAGTGGAATCCATATAGTGGTTACCTTAAAAATGCACTCCAACACCTAATCCTATTGTTTGCCATGCATCTCCAGAGTACCGGGGGGCATTGAGGATATATTTTATGGAGTTTACTTGGGGTAAGATAGATACGATGGAAAAGTTTGAATTGTCTAAATTTACCTCTTGTGGGGACTAATTGTTTTGAATGGGCCCTCCCAAATATTCTCCCATTCTTTGCTGTCTAAATTAGGTACTACCTCCTCCCAGGATGCCCACAAGCATTCCAGACCATGGTGAATAGTGGGGTTG